TTGCTTAAAACAAAAATGGAGCACTCTGGCTACTTTCAAATACACATCTTCAGACGGTGACCTTTGCCTTTTCGGAGTGAGATGTTAGATCACTTTTCTGTGCTTGTTCTGTTGATTAGCTTGGAGTCTCCTGAGGGTCCGCTGTGCTGACACGACTGGGCCTCCAGCTCACATACTTGGCCAGCTATAGATTACTGCTGTCGAGGGGCGGGGAGGTCCTTGGACTCCTGTCTGCACTGGACCCGCCTTAGAGTGGGAGGATGGGCCCTTAGAAGTGGGGCAGAGCCTAGATCCAGGCCTGCTGATGCCGCTTTTCCTCTTTCCTGCCAGGGTGGAATTTACATGTTTCAGCTCGTGGACACGTATGCAGCCTCCTACGCCCTGGTCATCATCGCCATTTTTGAGCTCGTGGGGATCTCCTACGTGTACGGTAAGGGGAACACCGTGCCAGACACTGAAGCAGAACTTAGTAAAGCATCCACGGCACGCAGGTTTTCCGTATTTAATAAGACGAGGGAAGCGCTTCACTGCAGCTATTTAGGAATCACAAGAGAGCGGCACAGTCATTTCCAAGCTTGCCTCAGGACCACTGGGATCTAGATTTAACAAAAGGTGGCTGATGGTGAAACTCGCGAGTCTTTGCATCAGAAACTGCTAGGACCAGGACGTACCTTTGAGTGTGGTCTGGCAAGCGAACAGTGAACGCCTGTGGATGATGGTCAGATCGGGGAATGGGAAGGCAGGGAGTGCAGGTGTGAAAGTATTTCCCAGTCTTGGTAACTGCGAGCTTCGTGTAGCTTGAGGTGAGGAGTAGTTTCATGGCTGGTCCACGGATACCACAGTGAGAAAAGAGCACACCGGCCTCATGCATCCTTAGGAGACTTTGCTAGCATCATGGGAGCCTGTGATGCAAAATCTCAACCCCAGATTTTCCCAGGAAGAAACTTCCGGTTCCTTTACAATTTAGCCCGTCCTACTGTCACCGTAGCAACCTGCATCCCATAATCAGTGGGGCCATTACCAAGAAGCACAGGAGGGGCCAGTCAGCAGATGCCGTCTTTGTCCTTCGTGTGGAGGTGTTTGTGCTTGGGGTGGGGTCTCACAGGGTGATGCCCTGGGCCTCTTGTGCACAAGCAGCCCGGTTGGATTCAAGGCACTGCTGACTCCTCTGTGCCTGGAAGTCTCAGAACCACGCTTAATATAGATAAGGCCTCCATAGCAAATACCGAGGAGGCGAAAACTGCCAACTCAGACTATCCCTCTGTACCTGAAAACCAGAACAATATGGTAAAGGGAGAGGCAGGACATCACCTGGATGCAGGATATTCTTGATATGAACATCTTGCTTTTAATGTAACTGTTAGCCTCCTGCCCATCAGGGGTTCCATAGCTTCTTGCTTTCCTGAAAAATGCATTAAAATGGAGGGTGATGAGAAATCAAAATAATCTAAAAAAGGAACCTCTCATGTGAAAATTGGTCCCCCAGAAACAGGAAGATAGTGGAGTCATTGCTGGGTGTTGGTGGAAGGGGAATTTGTCCCAGCTGGAGCTTACATCGCCAATGCAGGGAGAGTTTAGGTTCTGGCCAGAGGAGTGGGCACACATGCCAGCTGTCCTGCTGGGATGAGAGGCCAGACTGCCACACTTTGGGCTGATATGACAGCCCAGAGCCTGCAGTGATGCTGTGATTGAAGATCTGCTGTCACATTTAGGGTGAGGCTTCAAAGGGCTTTCTGACCTGAGCAGAGAGAGGCAGAAACCCGGCCAGTCTGCCACAGTGAATCATCACTTTCTGCCCAGATGCCAAAGGTTTGGCCGTGGAGAGGCCTCGAGAGCCCTCCTTTGGAAACGCAAGCCCTTGTGGGTCCACATATAAGCTGAAGTCGCCAGATGGTCTGTTGGCAAAGTCAGGAAAGCACTTCACTGCAGCACTGGCCCAAGTACAGGTGGCCGTCTCGTTGACCTCTCCGCTGTCTGTATCCTCGCTGCCATTTGCCATCAAAGGCACATTTGCACAGTTCTTTCCAATAAAACAGGGCTGTTCAGTATGGTTTACAAGCATCATTAAAACAAAAACCTTTTAACATTTCTGTTTCCAGAAGTTAAATAGCTCCCCCCAGCCCCTGTATAAATCTAGTGGTAGATGTTTTTGGTTCTGAAGGGAAAAGCAAACCCTGTATGCTTTAGTCCCTGGGCTCTGCTGTTCTTCCTTGGGGGAGCATCCAGAAAACTGCCTGGACTCTAGAGGGCTGGTGCTGGGCCAAGTGCTTCCAGAACCGGGTTCACTCTCCGCTGAGCTCAGGCTGAACTGGACTTCGGTAGAGTTGGATGTGCGTGTGAACCTCTGATTTGGACCTGGATGGAACTCTAAGAAGTGGATCTTAGAAAAAAATATTTGATATAAGCTAACAGAATTGTTACAGGGGAAAGGAAATGCCTGGACAAATAGAATTTATGTCCTAGAGGACAGTGCATTCTTTTTTTTTTAATTTTATTTTTTCAAATTCTTTTGAGGGGGAGGTAGTTAGATATATTTATATGTATTTATTTATTTTTAATGGAGGTACTAGGGATTGAACCCAGGACCTCATGCATGCTAGGCACACACTCTACCACTGAGCTAGACCCTCCCCCCACCAGAGGATAGTGCATTCTTTATAGTGATGAAGAGGCCCCAAACAAATGCAAGGTCAGTTTAAGGCAGTTGAACATGAACCTGTGAAGAATGAAATGAACCTGGCAGATACCCCCCATCCTGGCTGCTGAATTTGGAAAATAAGCAGGTGAACTGCAGAGACGTGTGTTTTCTCCTCGGCGCTGATCAGTCTAGATTCTCGAGGTTGCCATTCAAACATTTAAAATATGGTGGGTACAGTTTTCAAGTTTTATCTTTAGATTGAAAGAGCTGGTTCAGGTTCTCAAGTCAGCACTCCTCAAAGGCCAGTATCCGGGTTCGAGGTAGCTAGAAAAGTGGAACTCCTCCCCTTTGGTGTAGGAGCAACCCCTTGCAGACTTTTACCTGATAGAGTCACTTAGAAAAAGTGATGTGCATTTCCCTGGGAGCCAGTGCATTTTCCTGGGACTTTCTGGCCGGGGGGGCGATGCGGTTGAATTGCCACCACGGAGACCTCCTGCTCGTTCTCTGCTTGGTTCTGCACTGTGCATTTCCCCCAAATCACAGTGTGCTGAATTGTCTTGATCTGTTTTCTTCCACTTTGATCACTTACTTGTTTCACATCCCATAGTGTCCTTCTCCACATCCTTGAGAGGGAAGTTAGAGTCACACCAGGCGATGATTTTATGGGATGGAATATGTCATTCTTCAGTTCTTGTTGCCCATCCTGTGTGTTGAACTCTCAAAGGGTGTGTGTGGTTTTTTTTTTTTGTACAAAAGAAAAAACAAAATGCACCAATAGTCCCCCCACTGCCCCACAAATAAGCTTAATTTTGTTCCTCTCTGATCTCCATCCCTGAGCTCCATTTTCACATATGTTCTTGGCTGAATTGTCACTGTCCACCTCTCATTCAGGGTGTAAGTCCCCCAGCTCCATTTGCTGGGGTTCAGCAAACATTAGGAACAAGAGGCTTCAGTCCATTAATAACTCACACAGGTAACTCCCTGTGAGCATATCAACAGGTGTTTATTAAGTATTTACAATATGCCCTGTGTGCTCCTAGGAAAGTGGGGAGATGCTGGGTCAGTTTCTGGGCACTGAAATCTGTTTGTCTGAGTCTGGAACAGTAGGTATGATGGTGACCACTTAGAATTCTCCTTGGTTTTTCCCTGCCCTTGTCACTTACACTGAGCAGAAATGAACTGACTCATGGAAGAGTAGCCTTGGGAAGGCGGGGGGACAAAACACAATGTGCAGTACGTCTCCCTCTGAATCCCAAGGCTTTTTCTCGATACACTGTGTTTATTGGTCATGATCTTCATTAGTGTTGCTGCTAAACCCATGAGCCCACCTTCAAAAACAGCTGCACGGATGAATACGCCAGGCTGGGGGCAGTGCTGAGTCATCCCGGCTAGCCTGGAACTGAGCGTTTTAGATGTCACTGTGGGGTGACATCTCACGTTGGCCCTCACTGCAGAGAGTATTTAATATCTACTTAAATATTCTGTTTGCCTTCATCTTCCGGGCAGTGAGTCATTTGTCTGATGGGTTCTTGCATGACAGGGGTCACGTTGACAGCAGGTGGTGGCCATCCCTATCCGATGGCACTCGATTTAGGGGCTCTTGTGCTGTCCACCCCCACCCCCCCGCCTCCGTACCTCATGCTCACTCTCCGTTTGTCTCTTGGCAGGCTTGCAAAGATTCTGTGAAGACATAGAGATGATGATTGGATTCCAGCCAAACATTTTCTGGAAAGTCTGCTGGGCGTTTGTAACTCCAACCATTCTAACTGTAAGGACAGCATGCTGTATCAGCGGGTAGCACCTTGCACGCGTAGGTGATGCTTCATGTTGAACAAGGCGTGTACCTACATATAGATGAGCCCAGGGAGCTGGTAGGATGGTTATTATTCTTGTCCCTCAGCTGAGGAAGCAGGTTCAAGGAGGTGCGGCGACTTCCCTAAAGGTGCTTCCCGATTGGGTGCAGAGCTAGGACTCAGGCACAGTTTGAAGCACCCCTGTGGGACATTTCCCATGATATCCGTCTGCCTCATGTCCTGACGGCCGATAGCCATCACATTCCTGCGTGCCAACAAGGCCCAGGCTCTGTCCAAAGTGCTTTATATGTATCCCCTCATCTGTCCCCCACAGCAGCTCTGTGGGGTTGGATTATGGTCATCTCCACGTCACCCATGGGAAACCTGATGCCCAGGTTATGTGGCTTGCCTGGGACTGTACCACTAATACAGTTTGGGTTTGAACCCAGGCAGGCTGGCTCCAGAACTCTGGCTCTTAAATGCTACTCAGTACAGCTGCTCTACGATGAATGTGTACAGCAGAAATTAGACTTTTATTGTTCATCTTTATTGCTTTTGAGGACTATCTTATCATCCTCAAATATGATGATGACATTTTGAGATCATTTGACATTCATCTTCTTAAAGATCAGAGCCCTTTCTGTGTCAGTAAATCTGTGTAGGGACTTGTATGCATATCCTGTCACCTCCTTTATTATGCCTTAGCTGCTGGCTTTGCCTGCATCCCCTTCCCAAGCACCATAATTGACGAGACCTTGCCTTTCCCTCTCCTCCTCCCCTGGCTTGCGAGCGTCCTCTGGGTAAGGCTGCAGGAAGCTGGCTGTAGTTCCTGCTTTTCCCAGCAGGTGGCAGTAGAAACCAGATTAAGACCCTTATTTTACAGCATTGTACCAGCCTCTTTAAAGGAAAATAAGATAGTAAAACTGCAAAGAAAACATATATTTTCCCTTTTTTAAAAAAACAAAACAAAACTGCCCCAGAGTGAGTTTTAGTCAAAATACCTCAATTTCTTTCTGAAAAGACAGACGTTTAGACAGAAAAAGCATTCAGCGTTTGCCTCCCTCTGTGCAGACACAAGCCATCATGGAGAGGCCCGCAGCTGTGCTCACATGTTGGCGGCTGTAAGTGGTCTGAAAAGTCCTACCAGGTTTGAGCCATGAGAGTTGAAAAGGATTAAGGCAGATTTTGTAGTCTCTTGATTTCAGGACTGAAATATGTGAAGAATGGGGATTTACCTAACTGTTGGGAGACTCCTCTGCCTCTGCTGTTCTCCACCTCTGCCGAGTATCACCTTGCCCCCCAGTTCTACACATGACTTATTCTTCTTTAAAATTGAAGTATAGTCAGTTTACAATGTTATATCAATTTCTGGTGTACAGCATTACATTTCAGTCATGCATGTATGTACATATATTTGTTTCCATATTCTTTTTTATTATAGGTTACTACCTATAATAGCTCCCTGTGCTATACAGAAAAAACTTGTTTATATATATATTTATGTATGTTTGTATGTATTATATATAGCAGTTAGTATCTGCAAATCTCAAACTCCTAATTTATCCCTTCCTACCCCCTTTCCCCACTGGTAACTATAAGTTTGTTTCCTATGTCTGTGAGTCTGTTTCTGTTTTGTAAATGAGTTCATTTGTGTGCTTTTTTTCTTAGATTCCACAAATAAGTGATGTTATATGGTATTTTTCTTTCTCTTCCTGGCTTACTTCACTTAGAAAGGCTAAGTGATCCCCAGGTTCATCCATTGTTGCTGCAAATGGCATTATTTTATTATTTTTTATGGCTGAGTAGTATTCCATTGTATAAATATGCCACAACTTCTTTATCCAGTCATCTGTCAATGGACATTTAGGCTGTTTCCAGGTCTTGGCTATTGTAAATAGTGCTGCTATGAACATTGGGTGCATGTGTCTTTTTGAATTAGTTTTCTCCAGATACATGCCCAGGACTGGGATTGCTGGATCATATGATAAGTCTGTTTTTAGATTTTTGAAGAATCTCCATAGTGTGTTTTCCATAATGGCTGCACCAAAATACATTCCCACCAACAGAAAAAGGTTCTCCTTTCTCTACACCTGCTCAGCTTCTTGGGTGAATTCAAAGTTAGAATCTGCCCCAGATCCTAACTTTTCCTCCTAGCTTGGGAGACATTAAGCTTCAGGGAATTGTATTCTTTGGAAACATATCCCGTAGTAATAATCAGCATGACGACTCGTGGAGATCGAGTATCAGGCAGGCACTTTATTAACACTGTCTCTCAAGCCCCTGACCACCCAGCCTGGTGGGTGAGTCTTTCCCCATTTTACAGGTGTGTGCACTGAGGCCTGGAGAGGCTCAGGAGCCTGGCCAAGGCCACGGAATGTGCAGGGAGCAGAATAAGAAGGGAATCCAAGGCTATCTAGGCTTCTAATAAATTTCTTAAAATCTAGTGCTTTCATCTCCAAGTGGAGTTTGGCCAATTTTGGATTAAAATAATCCTAATCTTCTTTAGGACCAAAATGTCAGGGAAAAGGGACTTGCTGTATTTTTTGGAGAAAGTTCTCAGCTGTGCTGGGCTTTACTTGATTTCCATTATAAAACTCACATCAGAAACCTGCAGAGAAGTCCCAGATAGTCTCTTCCACCAAATTCCCCTTCTGTGTTTGGCAGTTAGGGACAAAAAGAAGTGGTCAATTCCATCATCATCATCAAGCCAGGACCTCCTTCTGCTGCCGTTAGCAAAAGTCAGGTGGGCCTGGCCGGGTGGCTGAAATAACCTCCCTCGTGGCCATGCCCAACTGAGGGCGGGGTTTTATCAAAGCTGACTTGGCAGAGGGAAACTGATGGCAAGAGCCAGTTTGCATGGATAAATCTGATGTGATACTTGTGTGACTGGAACTGGGCATCAAAGGAGCCAGGCTAACACTTAGGTTTTGCCATTTGCCCTTCTGTGGCATGGCTATCTGTCATGTGCTGGAATGAGTCGAGATTAGGAGTTGAAATTACTTCAAAACCCCTGAAATAAAATTGATCATTTTTATATGTGCCTTCCTAGATTTACAGAGCTATAAATACTCTCCATGCAATTATCATCTACATAGTCAGATCACGTTACTGAATTACGTGCACACATAAGCAGATGTATTGCTATTTATATAGTCAACGAAATGGAGCCGCTTACCATAATTACATTAGGCAATACTTCCGATTGACCGGTTAATAAAGCTTACAACTCCAGGGGCAAATGTTTAAAAGGAGGCCTAGAGTAGATATCTCTTATCGGAGCAGTTTCTTCAACAGTTGTCTTCAGGCCTATGTTGCTTCGAATCGATAGATTGAATTATTGTTGCACTGAAATAATCACTTGCCCCCGTGGCCTGGGCTTTGCAGCAATAATCTAGATGCCTTCCATTGGTCTAGTGTTTCACACTTCCCTAAAATACCTCCATATATCATCTCTCCTGACATAATCCCCTCCAGTAATTTTTAAGATGTTCTTTTACTGCTTATGATAGAACGAGCTGGGGAGGGGGAGGGATAATTTAGGAGCTTGGGATTAACAGATCCACACCACTATACGTAAAATAAATGACAGAGACCTGCTGTACAGCACAGGGAAGTATATTCAATATCTTGTAATAACCTATAATGAAAAGAATCTGAAAAAGAATATATATATATGCATATGTATCACTGAATCACTTCGCTGTACCCCTGAAACTACCACAACACTGTAAATCAACTATACTTAAATAAAAATTTTTTAGAAAGATATGATGGGCAGTCAACAGGGAAAGATGCTCATTCTTACTAATAGTGAATCTTTACATTAAAGAGAATTTTTTTTGCCTGCCCCAAAAAAACAAAATGGCATACTACTCAGCCAGAAAACAGAATCAAATAATGCCATGTGCAGCAACATGGATGGACCTGGAGATCGTCATTCTAAGTGAAGCGAAGAGAGGTGAGGAGGAGAGAAGGACTTACATGGCCCGTTGTCTAGGCTGAGGCCAGGCGAAAACCGGGAGGAGCTCAGTCTTCTGAGGGCAGTGCCCTCCCCCCACAGAGGCTTGGCGAGAGCACTCAGAACCCCCCTTCTGTCTTTTTTTGGTGCCTCTCTTTTCGGTGTATCTGTTCCCTTGTTGAGCGTTCCCTCCAGCTGCACTAAGCAAGCCTTCAGAGGGTTCTCATCACTCTTGCCCTCAGTGTGTGGTGATGGGAGGTAATGGGCAGGAATAAGCATGACGTCTCTTAAAAGTGAAGGGGGAGGCTCCTGAGTAAATAGCAGACTGTGGTTCCCAGCAAACCCCTGTGTTACACACCTGGGATGAAAAATATCTGTTTTACAGCAGAGACAGAGGGGGGCTGTGTCTCTACTGTCTTTGTCCCATGGCTTATTATGGGACCAAGCTTCCTGCTCAGCCCCTGTTTGGGGACCTCGGCAGTCTCACTCAGCCAGCTCTAGAGGAGCTCCTGGGGATGGGCCATTCCCCATTCAAGGAGAAAGCAAAGGAGATTCAATTGATTTTTTTGACATTAACCAAATGGATTTTTCCCCCTTGTAACAAAAGCTTGATTCTCCATCATAGAAAGTAGCGACCACCCCTTGAAAACACCCACCATCCCCTCTCCCCCTGACACCTGCCAGGGTGTATCCTTTGACTTGGTCCTCTCTGCCTGTCCGTGTGTGTAGGCACACACCTGCATCGCTCAGTTTTTATGGGATGGCAAGTGCAGCATCATTAGCGAAGTGTCAGTTTCCTCATTTGGAAAACACACTGATGATATCTCCCTTTCACGGTCGTTATGGGTGTGAGATGAGATAGTAGATACGAAAGCGTGCAACTCCCCCGCCCTAACACGTGTGTTTCTCTTTTCTTACCAGTTTATCCTTTGCTTCAGCTTTTACCAGTGGGAGCCCATGACCTACGGCTCTTACCGCTATCCCAACTGGTCCATGGTGCTGGGGTGGCTGATGCTCGCCTGTTCCGTTATCTGGATCCCAATTATGTTTGTGATCAAAATGCATCTGGCTCCTGGCAGATTTATTGAGGTAATTGTATCAGCTCTTACTCCTGCCATCCCCTCCCAAGGGAGAACCTCTGAGCGCTCTGGGCGTTAAAAAACGATAGATTTGGTGAACTTATTCTAGAGGGAGACTTGGTGATTAAGGGGTTCCAGTTGCTACCGTTTCTATTAAACTCATTTTTATTATGTATTATTTCTCTAATGGAGGAGCTCAGCCAATCCACAGGCTGCACTGTTATTATGCTATTCCTCAGCACACTGATGGCTCTGGGGAATAAATGATCTGTGTGTCTCCTGTCTCCTGGCACTTCCTCCTCCTCTCCCCTCATCTAGAGTTGAAATCCCAGTGTTTGGTTTTTAACCACACATCAGATTCCTCCTTTAAGCCTCCTTCCCCCAAACATCTGTTACCATTAAAGTTAAAATCACTGCCCCTTCCTGTAATGTGTGTTAGGGACAGCTGAACAGTGGTCCAAGCTGATTAAAATGTCACCATCCCTGTAGAATGTCATGAAAGGTCCAGAGTATGGCTGGTATAAGGCGACACTTGTCTTTGTCAGTTAGTCCCTGGCTGGACCCATTTCCCATTTTTAATGCAACAACAACAACAACAACAACAACAAACAACCCCCCCCAACTCCAGAGTCGATGGGAAGGGGACTGCCACTTGTCGAGCCACCACTGAAGTGTAGTCAGGCTTTTGGTGTTTGTGAGAATCACGGGCTCAGTTGTACCAGGAGGAGGTCAGTGCCTTGTCCTGGAGGTCCAGAGGTCTGGTGTTTTGGACCAGACCCGTGCTACTCAGGGTCTGACCCCAAGATCAGCAGCATCAGCATCACCTGGGAGCTCATTGGAAATGCAGGCAATCAGGCTCCAGCTCAGCTCCACGGAATCAGAATCTTGGGGAAGTGGGACTCAGGTGTCTGTGGTTGAACAAGCTCCCCAGGTGGTTCTGATACACACTCAAGCCCGAGAGGCATGGGGCTAGACCAAGATGAAGAAACACCTGCTGGTCGAGGGTAGTGAAGAACGGCTGGATGGGTTTTTTCGCATGGTCAGCCAGAGAAAGAGAGGTCCCGTGCAAGCTCGCGAGGGGAGAAGCGAGGTGGGAATGAGACACGTGAATAAATGCGTAAAATGAATGTCCACGTGCTGGGGGGGAGGTAGCCTTTGTTTTCGTTGGACTAAAGATGGAGACAGAGTCGGCAAAGGGAGATGCAGGAGGCTTCTTACCGCTGCAGTGTTCCAGTTTTTATCCTCAGGAAATTCCGTCCATTATCACCTTAAGGTAAATTAACGCGGCCCCCTCACCCCCAGGGATGGCTTGCTGGATCCTTCCCCCACCGCCGCTGACCTAGAAATCTCTCCCTCTGAACAAAAGCCTCTGCTGCTTTTGTCTGAGGCTGAAATTCTCTAAACTGATGAGTTGGCTGTATGAATTTATTATGGTTGATTTGGGACACAAAGGTTGCAAACTGATGATTAAGAGGAGATTAAACTAACAGCTATAAGAAGTGGCTTCACTTTAATAGGTAATAAACACATAATTGTTCCCTCTTATGTAGTCAGAAATCTGTTTTCTTTCCTCTTTCTAGAAAAGGCTCCAGTCAAATTATGTTTTTCTGTGAGAAGTTCAGTTGAAGGATTAGGGACATTCCCATGCTTTTTCGCTCGCCTGCAAGAACCCCCGCTTCTGAACCAAATCAGAAGCATGTATTTTTGTCAACAGATAATTAAATTCTTTGCTCTCCCTTGGCAGTTTATCTTTGGGGTTGAGGGTTTTGTTTTTTTTTCCGGCCGTTTATGTACTTTTGGGAAATATGCTAAACAAAATCCAGTTAGTTTGATGTAACAACTCACTGCGGAGAGGACAGAACAAAAGTATTTGAGTACATGTCCTTTGCAGACGGTATGTGGCCATGGAGAGAGCTGCTAGGGGTTCCTCTTCATTCAGAGGGGGAAAATGTATAATTAGAATCTGAGTCCTTTATCCTCAATTAATCTTGTGCAAGGCTAACCCTGAGCAATTGTAATATTGCTTGCAGGGTGACGTAAATGATTTCAAGTGAACCAAACTAAGTCACCTTTTTTAATGCATTCTTGGTTAATTAACCCTGGTTAATTAATGGAGCTGATCTTCCTGCTTCTCGTGGTGGGGGAACCTCTTGATTCAAGGGGGTGTTCTGGCACACGTGGTTGCACACAGTTGGGGATGGGTGGGTGGTGTCTCGGGGAAGGGGGTTCGTTATTTCCGTGACCCTGTGTGTCTTTGGCTTCTTTGCAGAGGCTGAAGTTGGTGTGCTCGCCGCAGCCGGACTGGGGCCCCTTCTTAGCTCAGCACCGCGGGGAGCGCTACAAGAACATGATCGACCCCCTGGGGACCTCTTCCCTGGGACTCAAACTGCCAGTGAAGGATTTGGAACTGGGCACCCAGTGCTAGTCCGAGGGCATGGTCCTGTTTCTCCTCTCTGCCTTCCCCTGTGTCTTCCCCAGCTTTCTTCCCCTTTTTCTTCTTCTTTCTGCCCACATCTTGGCTCTTACCCATGCATGAGTGGTTTTGCAGGAAAGTAGGACATAAGTCGTGCGCTGTAGCGAAGGGCTAGACGGAGCAGTTGCAGTGCAGTTTGCCTGCGTCCACGCTGTCAGTTCCTGGTGGGGTTCACCCCGCAGGCGCGGGCTGACTAGGTGCGCGCGCGTTCCAGTGAAGTCGCAAGTAGGTCTGCGGGTGTGAGTTGGCCAGTGGAGAAGCAGCCACGCTGGTTGTCACTGGCGGTGCCTGTCAGGCTTACACACAATGGCAGGAGAAGAGGAGTGGTCGTTTGGACTCATGTAAGCAGTGTGGTGGTTTCACTCAGACACAAAGTTCAGGACAGGAGGGTCAGCAGTGGTCAGAAAGTGTTTGGAGTTAGACGAGGAGGCCGGTGGCTTTAGACCCCCCCGGGGTGGTGAAGTTCACAATTCCACTCGTGGTTGGAGCTCTGTTTCCTCCATCTGGACCAGCGGTCTCGTTGTTTTCTCTGCGAACTGCAAATCTCAGTCAGTCAAGAATCAGTTCTCTTCCCTCAGTTGTCTTTTTTTTTTTTTTTGGACAACCTGGTTGTGAACGCTTTTGGCCATCGCCTCCAGCTCTGCACAAGAAGCCGTCGGATTACTTGTGCCTGACGTCGTACGTTCATCGCGGAGTGCTGTCCTCGTTTCTCCGTGACATCTAGCGCCGTGGTTCAGTGATGTCATTGCCCCCTGTTTCTTCTGAATGTCTTTCTATGAGCTGTGGATACCTTGTCTTTCAACCTCTGGGGAAACAAAACTTCCCCTGGTTCTGTCTATATATTATATACATACAAGACACAGACTCTCAAAAGACAGATAACGTCTCAGTTTTTACTCGCAACTTTTTCATTCGCGGTAAATGCCAATTGTGGCCATAGAATCAAAGAAATGAAGAGTTTCAGAGAAAGCAACCATAACATTCCCACTGATACTGCGCTGGTAGTACATTTTAGGTCACTGTAGGTACAGATGTTTCTGATAAACACAGGTTAGGTAAGTAGGCAAGTGAGCTAATTAAAGCTATAGCTTTTAAGACTACATTTAGCTAATTCAATTTTAAGAGTTTCCAATTCACAATACTCATAACCGCACGCGAATGAGGGTGAATCATATGTCTGCAGAGACTGGCGAAGCTGTAACCTTTATTACCTTCTTGTACCCTGAACATGCATATATGAGATGTTTACAGTGTGATACAATGTGTTCATGTCGTGTGTCCTGGTGTGGTGTTTTCTGTCCTTATAAATATCTTATGAATCACTGTAGAAATGATGAGTAGAATAGTGTAGTCGGGTTTTTTTTTCCCCCTTACAGTAATAATATCTAAACCTAAAATTGTTTCCTTAGGGGAGACCATTTCAATCATTTTCTTACTTGTTTGTCTTCGTATGACAGGGTCTCAGGCCAAGTTTTCAGTTCAAATCTTGTATATTGTCATGACATTTTCATCCTGTGCAACAGTAATGAAACCCAACAGCAGACTTAAAGTAACACTTAAAAAAAAAATGACTTCATTTGTTAAGGGAAAAAAAAAAACAAACAAACCCTAACTCGTTTTCCCAAGTTGTCCCTTTTTTGGGGCAAATCTCATTACCATTTGCCGACACTGGTGTGAACTTCCGGTTTTCAGGAGTAGCCTGGGGAAACTTTTAGAAGAGAAACTAAAAATTGGTTTTGAACTTGAGGTTTTCCTCTTTGTTGTCTGTAGGGCATGTCTGTTCTTCCCCCCGCCTCATTCCCTTTTTCTGCTTCCCTCCCACAGCTAGAACTTTCTAGAATCTGTCACAGGGACTAAACCCTGAGCCTCCCCTGGACTTAGCTTCAGGCAGCTGAGCTGTGGCCTCCCCTGCCCCATGTTTCCCACAGTGACCTGCTGGCCATTAGCACTGGTCTCCCCAGGAAAGTCATATGGAAGAGAAGCCCCCGTTGCTATCGCAGACTCGGCAGAGTGGTACCCAGAATTAGCCTCTCCAGTTGATATCCTGGTGGGGTGGGAGAGGGAGGGAGGACTCACTTAGGCTTGGAAACAATCTGCAGCCTTTCCAATCTGAAGGTTGGAGAAAAAGAGCTGAAATCAATTAGCCATCTCCCACAGGACTGGGATGTTTGTGTCAGGACCGGTGGTTTTTGGCTTTCCTCTCCCGCCTCTTGGCTAAAACTCGACTCTGATGCTGGACGCCAACCCAATTTCTGTTAATTATTGCTGTTGTAATTAAGAGAAGTGGTGGTGGTGGGGAACTCATGTTTGCCGCCAGATCTTTTTTGTACGTGCTGCAAGTTAATTGTGAGAATGGGGACATCCTCACTAGCTGGTGTATTTTGCATTTGGGGGCAGCAACATTTGTGTTCATTACGATTTGTTTAGTTAAGACCTAGTAGCTGTTTCCTGAGCAGCTGGATTCCCGCCACCCCCCTCGCCTTTTCCTACAATTTTTAAGTTTTATGTACAGTTTACTTAAAGGTGGAAGGTTCTGAACTTACCTGACACAGTGACCGTGGAAATGCAGTTTTGCCTGTTTCTATGGCCCTGTTTAACATTTGAGGCTTTCCCTGCCAGAGATGCGTTTAGTATCCATGCTGTTTCCAGTCATCGCGAATTGATGCTGCCGCCCCTCCCGTAGGCTCGGCCGGGACGCTGAGATGCATATGACCAGATGGATGTTTCCATGCTTTCAAAATGCACAGTCAAGTGGAAGGGGAAAAAAATGAACGAATACAAATAAAATGAACAGCATTGTTATAAACTGCCGTTTGAGAGTTCCCCTTCAAACTGAGGCAGAAAACCGAGTACTGAGGAAAGACTTTCATTGGTTCACTGTGCAGAACGGTGGGGTATTTTCCACTTGTGAGATTATTTCCTAATACCAACAAATGCCAGAAACCCATTCAGAGAAAAAAGCCATATGTTAAAAATAATAACCCTGTAATATCCTTCAAGGAGGAAAAAAAGTGTATCGTCTTAACTATTGGTGTTGTGTTGTGGCTTCTTATGCAAATATTTGTCTTGCGTATTAGTAACTTTTAATCTCTTTAAGCCTGTGTATTTGTCATGTACAAATGTGTCCAGTCTGGTCTCTTTCCTCTTTGTTTCATGTTTATTTATTGCATGCAATCTGTGGTCAGTGCAAAAATCTCAATGACCTCAATGTCTTTGAAATTTCCAAAGTGTATTTAATCTGTCAGAAACGGAATCAACGTGTATTTCCGTGATGGCACTTTAAAAGGACATTTAACACAATGAATGGCCTTGAAATGGAAAAGACTTGGGTTGTCTTTGCTAATGTTGCATTGGAGTTGAGTTTTCCTTTAGTTAAGTTCTAACTGTTATCTACATGTGCCTCCATACTTCCTGATAACCTTCACGTGTCAGCATGGTTTTCCCATGCCTAAAATTAAGATGTTTTTCCTTCCTTGTTGTTCCTTTGTCCACTGGTCATCGTCTTCTTCCCACAGACTTGCACGATAACTGTTGCTTAATGTAAGCATGAAGGCGAAGTCACACTGCTGCTGTACTTAGATTTGGGTCTGTGAGACACTTCTTTGAGGCAGATGACTTGCATGAGGGCACGCTGGTAGTAGTAGGGTGGTAGGGTGGTAGGTTATCTTGCAGAGAAAAAAAGCCAAGGCCAGCGAATGAGCATTACCTCTGTTTCATACTGGGTACCCTGCAGAAAACCTCCAGGCTGGGAGCAGAGGTTTGGGTGATCGAATCTGGATACTCATTTCTCTTAAAAGTGGCCCAAGGATTTGCAAAAGTGAAGCTTCCTCTCTTTCTGGGATTTTGCTTCAACTGGACAGAAAGGCCAAGTCACATTGAATTGCGGTCTCCGCTCGGGCCACCTCTGAACCAAAGAGGAAGTTCTCAGATTGGGTGCTCATCCCCTCTGAAGAGCCAGCAGTGGTCTGATTTGCCCACCATGGATTAAATACATCTTCAGGTAACCATTTGCCTTATAGGTGTATTTTATTGTTAGGATGATACTTAGCAACTGACTAGGAACTGTTTTGTCTCTCATTTTTGGGTCTTTTTTTGCACTTTATATGGACCTATCATGGGATAGGTTTGTTCTTAAATTGTGTACCTGGCTTATGTCCTAAATGCAGGCATCTTATGTGGTACTGTCGCCTATGAATAAAGATATGCTCCCTAATCAGGTCCTTATATTTTTTCATTAACTGTACACGAGGAAAATATATTACATTATAAATGATGCATCATAGATATATCTTACAGAGTGCATATTATATGCTGTGTATTATTCATTTAAGGAGTCATTATTCTTGAGGCCCTACCTCAAATTTTGTATTTACGTGTACAAATGCAATTTATGGTATTATATATTTGCCTATTATATACTGACATAAATTAGAATTTATCCTAATGATGTATGAGTTCACAAAACCCTAAATAAATGTCAGTGTTTAAAACATGATGACTACAGAATTGTGTCTATTAACAAACCCATTACCCACATCCTTTCTTAACAAATGGCCTTCAGGTACCCCCAGGATTGATCTGTTTTGTTGGGAGAAACCTGGAACAGAAACAGAACTGCCCTCCTGGGAGCATGAGATATTGCGCTGCTGCAGAAACAAATATCAATTAAATTGTTATATTCTTAGCCATCAGAATACACTATTGTTTGCTGAATTATTAATCACCCCTCCTGGGGAAGGAGAGAGAGGGAGGGAAAGAATCTGAGTGAATCTGAACAGAGGGACTGGGCAAGTCAAATCCTTGGGTGTGTTTTAATGACCATTTTGTCAGCCTTCAGTTCCACTTTATTTCAATTCCGCAAACATTTATGTCGCTCATCCATTGAGTTAGACCCCAGGGAGCACTGAATAAAAAATAAAACAGTCCCAGAGCTCACGGACCTCGGAGCTTAGCGGAAAGACTACCCATATTCAGCCAGCACCCCAGCAAATCAATAAATACCATTCTTCTCCTTTGAAGTGCATGGAGCCCCCCTGTTCCCTGCCCAGAGATGGGCCCAGAGCACTGGTGTCATGTGTACAGCCTGACAGCTGGGCAGTCCTGTCTGATCACGTTAACCCAGAAGCTTGACTCTGTCCTCCTCCAAGGGACACAAATGCTCATGTGCCACCTCCAACTTCAGCTGCCACGTGGGCAGGCTACGGGGACCAGCTGGACCACCCTTAGTGGGAAAAGAAATGACCTCACAAGTGGATGCTGAAACCACAGGCCAAGAGCACAGGTGTCCGTCCTGCGGTAATGAGACTTCTACACACTCACTCGGGCTTGTCCACAACACGGCAGTTCAGCCGACGGGCCGAGCTGCAAATACCAAACTCAGTGTGAGGCTGCATCTTGGAAGAAGTACGTTCTGTGGGATCAGAAATTGGTGCTGGCTTGTTATCTTTAATTTCATTTCTGAGATCCTTTTGCTCAGTCGTGTTCCAACTTTTTTTTGGAAAATTCTCAAGCACACCTAAAAGCAGAAAGGAGGGAATAATGAACTCCTATGCCCGCATCACTCAGTTTCAATAATTCTCAACTGTTATCAACAATTAACTGGTGTCCCCTTTTATTTCATGTATCCCTCTCCCCACTCTGAGCTGAAACTTTGTTTCTTTGGAGTCTTTCAAAGTAGATGTGGGATTTCACTTGGAAATGGTCCACTGTGTTTTTACACTCCTTTAAATAGTCTTTCCCTAAGTGGGGTGGAGGATGAATTGTGCTAAGCTCACACATGCGTGGCCAGACCGATCTACTCTGGCTGTTGAAGGGGGCTACAACCATCCGTCCTGAAGGAGCTAACGGTGTTTGCTCTTACGCCTCCCTTGGCTTCCGGAGTCCAGTCTTCCATCCTGTTTTCAGTTGTTTGGCAACTATCCCTCCCCTGGACTTTGCGGCTGTTTTCCTACCCTACCAAGCTCACTCTTGCTGCTTTTGATTATTTTCTGCTTTTGTTTATATTTCCTTCCTCCATCTCCCCAGATGTCTCTCCTGGAACCAGAGATTCAGAATCTCATGGTTGCACAGAAGTCCAAGGTCATTGCTTCCAGCATCTCTGATACACAGGTTCCTCCACGACAGTCTGTTTTGCAGGGACTGGATTTACAAAGAGATGCAAGTGTGTTGAGTAGTCGCTGTCTGAAGATTCACCGTAGGGGCCTTTGGCAACTGAAAACTCCTCCAGTGCCTTTAAAATAGCTCAACTTTATAAAAACTGGATTTATTTCTCTGATTTATACATTCGACTCATAAAACAGACGGTGTGTGGTTGGGGCCACTGCTTTCATCTCATTTAGTGTAATCTGAATTTTATACCGATTTTAATACTGTAAGTCATTTAACCCAGCCCCATCCCCCTTTTTGGTAAACTTCTCCAGACACCTGTAGGAGGAGGAGAAATGAATGCCTGGAGTACTGTGTGGATTCACATTGAAACAGAATCACATTTTCATCATTTATTGATCCAGTCACTCGTATTTATTTTCAAAGTCTACTCAATGTCTTAATTATGTTAAGACATCAATATATTTCCAGTACCTAACAGTTTGTGACATATAGCAGATACTCAGTAAATGCATTTTTTAATCGAATGAGCAGATACTGAGTATTGGCTCTGTATGAGAGCTCCGTGTCACAACGTGCAGGAAAAACCTGAGTAAGACTTGGTCTTTCCCTTCAGGTTACTCAGAGTGAGGGGGGCTTTCAGACAGGTACACATGTTGCTGTAATACACGATGGAAAGTACCACGTGACACCACAGGATTTAGGACAAGAAACCACTGTGGGGATGCACAGGAAGACATTCCTTCTGGCTGAGAGGATTAGGCAGGACTTCCTGAGACAGAGACTTGGGGAGGATTTTGACCATGAGGAAGGTATTAAGGTGAGCTTCCCAGATGCGTGAGAGCAAGCAAGTGATGGTGTGGGAGCAGGACAGACAGACCCTCTCAAGAAAGAGTGGTGGGTGAAATTGGAAAGGATCGTCCATGCTTGTGGGAAGTGAGAACTACGGCTGAAAATGTAGTTTAGGACATGACAGTCATGTGCCTTAGTGCCAACATGAAGCGTTCAGAGGCTCTCTGACTGGCCGCAGGGCACCGTGGGAGGTAACTGAATAGCGGAGAGGACTTCCCAGAGGAGGCAGTTCTGATGCCAGAGGCAGAGCACTGTCCTGGGTTCGAGCACCAGGTCTTTGTTTACCAGCGCAGCCTCAGTTCCTTCGTTTGTACAATTGAAACAGTTATACCCATTATGCACTGTTGCTGTGAGAGTTAAATGAAAATTTGTACGTGAAAATTAACCAACCCAAATAAGGGCTGGATATGTACTGTTAGAACCAGATCTGCCCATTCAGAATATTGACCTGGTTGCAGTGTCAAGGATGAGTCGAAGTGGGGAGAGAGGTGAGGCAAGAATTTTGGTTTGATTGTGCGAGAAACCAGCCTCTTCAAAATGTGAGACGTGAACACCCAGACACCAGGTCACAAGTCTAGTAATAGAGGGATCCTTTAGCAGATCAATTCTTTTCTGACTCATGTGACTGGGGCCAGCACAGTATATTTAAGGATTTGAGAAATCAGCCAGGAGATGACCTCAGCCAGTCGCGGCAGACACGGCAGCGAGGCTGGAGCGTGGTCCTGGAGACGCCTGCCCTGCCAGGCGCTGTCATGTTAGTTTCTGGACTTTGGCAAAGTCCCAGAGTCCAGGGGAGATGCTGGGACAGGTGGGGCCTTGAGGTGGGACTCATGGGGTCTCAGGATAGCCTGCATATTTCTGTCACATTTCTTGTTCCCTCCTGCCTTCTCTCCCTTAGGAGGTGGAGGCTGAGGGGCTCGGTGGTTATAATGAGGGATACTCTTTTGTACCCTTCGCCTCCAGACCTTATGCCTTCTCCATCCCATGCTGGCGTTGCGGAGAGATGTGCAGAGAGAGCTTTGGGCCCTACCTTCTAAGGTTGCCTTCTAATGAATTTAATCTTTCTTGGCTGACGGCTTTGAGAAAGACCATACTTTAAAAACTCCCTCTACCCACAGCTCCCACGTGGAGAGGACTGCTGAGCATAGGCCTGTGACAGTCTTGGTGTGCAGTCTCTTTTCTTGCCTTCTTGTGAGTGCTTCTATACACGCTGTGTCTTGGGGTGAGGGTAAGAATTGTGTTGAACTTGCACTAGCCCATGATGGGCATTTGGCGCAGCTGGTACAAATTAAGGGAGTGTGGTAGAGACTGAAATTCTCCAAACTGCTGTTCTTGCCTCCTTCAGTAACACTTCTGACTTTAGCTAGGTTTGTTGTCACCCAGCCAAAGCATGGTATCCCCCAGTTTCCTTGCAGCCAGGTATGGTGGGCTGACTACTGGCTCCATTTTTTCACCCCAGCCCTAATCACATCCAGACTCTCTCCTTACTGTCGGCAGATGTACTTGCCCCTTGACTTTAATAGCATGTAAGCAGAAGTGACAGTGCTCCAGCTTGAAGTCTAGACCTTAGGAGACCTGGCCTGTTTCCATGTCCTCATTTGTGCCTCTTTGTGTCATGAGAAGAACATGTCCTCGCTAGCCCACTGGTGTAAGGAAGATGAAAGACACGTGGGACAGGGTCATTCAACTGACACACAGACCTGCTGTGAGAAGTGAAATTGGCCCAGCCACTGTAGCCTGAAGCAGAAGTGCCTGGATGAGGCTGGATGAGCTGAATCCTAGCCCACCTGCAGATATGTGATAATAGGTGCTTAGCGTTGCATACCACTGAAATTTTGTGGTTGTTTGTCATGCAGCAATAGCTAACAGATACATAAGGGGTGACTATGTGACTAGGTTCTGCCCAAGTTTAAGTGGAAGTGGCACATGGCATGCCCTTCTCCTTTTCTTCATTCTGTTCCATGTTTGTTGTCTGGAAAGTGGATATAATGGCTGGAGTACAAGTAGCCATATTGAACCCATGAGGACAAGAACTGTATTCTAGGGATGATGGAGTAGAGATCTGGAAAGAGCCAGGCTTCCTGTGGACTTTGTAGTATCACTAAATTAAATCTGGCCCATTCAACTGAAGACTTTTTTTTTCACCCGAGCGAGGCTTAAGCATCTCTTACGTAAGTTATTATTTGGGAGTTTTCCTGTTATATGAAGCCAGATAGAATCCTTACCAACACGGGTAATAAAATGAACTGGGATGACTAGAAGGAGACCCAGGGGACCACTGGGAGATGTGGGAGGCTTCAGTGTTACTTTGTGAGCAAGGAGAATTTTTGCAGCCTGTGACTCTGGAAAGTAGTCTAAAAGCATTTGAAGTGGCTATTTCTGCTTTATGTAGATGGACAGAGCCAGTTTCATGAACTGATGTGACAGGTTGTTGCCTAAAGTAACTAGAGTAGGCTAGCCCTGTTCAAAAATACCTCTCCCACTATGCCATCCCGTGGCCTGAGATTCCTCCA